TTTTCAAGAAATAAAATAGCTCATTGTCAGAAATTCATTTATCCACTGGCAAAACATCTTTTTTTATGTCTACAAAAGGAGGAAAACAGATTGACACTAATAAGCTGTTTCTTGCTTTTCACTGTAGTTTATTTGAAATGAGAGCTCATGAATTGAATTGATAAGAAGCAAATTAACATATAAGGATATGAAGCAGAATGTATTTACACAAAAAGTGACTGTTGGTGAAGTAAACTGCTAAAGTCAACAGCAATCACAAGTAATATTTTTAAAGACAAATTACTAGAAAGTAGTGTATAGAATATACATTAATTATATATATTTAGTCTCTCTTATCACTGACCTCAAGTTTATCATAAATATAAGAATAACTTTGATTTCAAAGGTCCTAGCAGACATAGGAAAATCATGTTGGAACTGTAAATGATAGTTATTATCATGGCACAAGCGTACTCTAGCTAATTCAAAAAATGTGTCCCATTCAAGGTGTCCCACAGTGAGCTATTTCTGACAATTTCTCAGACTACAGTTTCTGTTACCTATAAGTAGCCTGCAGACTCGTCCATTCCAGTCTCTTTATCAGCCTCCAGGATGCAGCCTCTGTTACCACTAACCTTCCTGAGATGACTGTCCCTGGGGAGCCAGGGACAGGTGTTCTCTGCCTGTGGCAGTTGCTGCTTGCTTCCTCCACCATTCTGCCCTCAGGGAGGGAATATGAGCACAGGCTCACCAGAAATTCTTCATACAAGAGCTAAAACTAGCTATAATTATCTTAGGTTTCACTTTTGTAGACTTCGTGGGTCAAGGGTGATGGAAGTGAAGGCCCAGGGCCTGCCCAAGGCGAGAAGTCTCATAGGAGACTTTCTACTCATTAAATTGGGACCCCAAAGCTCTCCATCTTCAGAATAATGGTGAACCAGATGTAACCTGCCTCCACAGTCTGTAGGAGGGAGGGATGCTCTGAGCATAGCAGACAGCAGAGAAAAATCACATGAGAAATGATTGGGAGTTGTGGATCCCTGAGACATTGTGACCTTAGGATATCCTCATGTAGTTTTGTAGTCTGGGGTTATATCACCTTGACAGTTCAGAGAAACTTAAGGTTGTCCCCAGACTAACAGCAACTCTATACAGGAGTCAGAAGCAAATTCTCTCTGGAAGAAGAAACTTTCATTCTAAATTTCAAAGAATTTCCTCAAATAAAATTTTATATGCCATAATGGTACATAGTTGAACATAAAAAAGCGCAGAAGAAAAAAGCCAGCATGAGCAAGAAAAATAGACAGCAGATAGAGATTCCAAAAACTTCAGACATTGGAGTTACCAGATGCATCTTATGAAACAGCTATTATTTTATGTTTTAAAAAATAGTTTGAAATAAGAACAAGTTTGAATATATTGAGTTCAGAGAACAATTAACTCTAAAAACTTCCCCAGTAGAACTTTAAAAGGACTAAACAAAAAGTCTTCAAATGAAAAATGTAATAACTAAAATTAAAAACTCAATAGTTACACACACCTATTAGAATGACCAAAATTCAGAATAGTGACACTACCAAAAGCTAGTGAGAATGTGGAGCTACAGGAATTTTATATATTGCTGGTGGGAATACAAAATCGTCCAGCCACTTTTTGAAGACAGTTTGGCAATTTTCTTTAAAAAAACTAAATATACTCTTACTATACGATCCAAAAATAACAATCCTTGATATTTACCCAAAGGAGTTGAAAATTTATGTCCATACAAAAACCTCCACACAGATGTTTATAGCAGTCTTATTCATAATTGCCAAAGCTTGGAAGCAACCAAGATGTCCTTCAGTAAGTGAATGGATACATAACTATGACATATTCAGACAATGGAATACTATTCAGTGCCAGAAATAAGTGAGCTATCAAGTCATGAAAAAAACCTTAATTACATATTACTAAGTGAAAGAAGTCAATCTGAAAAAGCTATACTGTATAATTGCAATGGTGTGACATTCTGGAAAGGGCAAATGATGGAAACAACTGAAAAGATCAGTGGTTGCTAGGGGTGAGAAGAGGAGGGGAGATAAGTAGGCAGAACACAGAGATTTTTAGGGGAGTGAAAATACCCTGTATGATACTATAATGATGGATACATATCATTATACATTTGTCTAAACCTATGGGATGTACAACAATAAGAATGAAACCTAAGGTAATCTATGGACTTTGGGTGATTATGATGTGTCGATGTGGGTTCATCACTGGTTAAAAAAATGTATCATTTTGGTGAGTGATGCTGATAATAAGGGAGGCTATATGTGTGGGGGGGCAGGGGTACACGGGAAATCTCTATAACTCTGTCTAAATTTTCCCTCATAACGTGAGCCCAGGGAAAGATCAAAATTTGAAGTTCGGTTTCTAATGAGTGTGCATTGCTTTCACACACAGTAAAGTTGAAAAACTGTTAGTTGAACCATTGTAAGTTGGAGACACTGTACAATGGTTTCCTCCCAAAGGGCAACATCGTATCAAATTAAGAAAATATTTACTCTGTACAATACTTAGTATCATCATGGATAGTCAAATGGTTTTCAGAGTTTGACAAAAAGAACTTTCTCAGTGATAAATACTGTAAGAGATTCAAGAAGGGAGAAAGGGATAAATAAATAAATAGGAGAGACTTTTAGTTTTATTCAATTCTTAGTGGGCTAATAGGTAGAAATTCATTTTTAGATGTTCAAATGTCTAACGGATTTTTTTAACTCCCCAAATAACGAGAATTCCCATCTTATCTGTATTTGTCAAAGTATTTTAAAATACATGTATTTTAAGTTGAAGTGGGTGCAAATACAGTTCTTAAAGAGTCATATGATATTTGAAAGCAATATTCATATGTAGAAAAGAAGAACATGAAAAAATCTAGGAGCAAAATAAAATATGCCACATTACAAGGGCTAATGAAATGAGTAAAGCAAAATAAGTCAACTATATCTTTTATTTTCCCAAATGGCTAATATAATGTTGATGATATATATAAACCAGCAGTTCTCAAAAGTCCGGTCACCAGAACAGTAACATTAGCATTACCTGGTGTCGTAAGAAACATGAAATCTGGGACTCCCCTCCAGACCTGCTAATCAACAGCTCTGGGGATGGGGCTCAGGAATCTGCATCTAACACTCCCTACTGGTGGTCCTGATGCCCTTAAAGTTAGAGAACCACTGAACCATTTCAAACCACACTGTACTCAATTTTTATTTACATGAACGGACAACTGGTTTTCTTGTTTATTATGAAGCTAAAGTTACATAAAGTTTATTATGTAACTAAATGGTCACAATGGAACAGAAAAAATAAAATATGTCTAAAGTATGTTTGAATAGCATAAATGGAGCTTGCCTTTTATCAAAATATAATTAACATGAGTATCTTTTTACTAATTTCATGAAACCAATATTCTCTATTAAAAAGGAAAGATCCATTATCAATAACAGCTTTTAAAAGTTTAAAATATTTCACATTAGGGAGATATTTTCTTATTTGCAGTTTACTAGTTATGGAATCTCTCCATATATTGTCTCATCTGTCATTATAATTATATATTATTCAGCACACCTAAACTCATTGTTATTCCAAGACTGTTATTTCATACTAAGATTTTTAAGTTCACTACAATTTTTTTCCTTAAATCCAGAAGTATGTTTCAGAAATACCCTCATGAGTCTAGCATAATACTCAGAACTAAAGTCCCATTTCTAAGTCACAATATATTCTCCTATTTGTTTCACTCAGCTTTATTTACCTAATCATCATCTTCACATCTATCGTATAAAATGACAGATTTCCAACTAAAAGCTCAGTAAACACACACAGTAGTCAACTTTAATTGCAAACAATCACAAAACAAACTTTAAAGCATTTCTACCCATGTAAAGCTCTGTGGGAAATTGTTTTCTCAAAGTATTGTGGATGATTATGAACAAAATAAATGAGGTAAGGTAATGTTACAATAATGATCTGGAACTGTGAGTCAAATGAGTAAGATTAAAGTACAAAGAGACTCTTCCTAATAAACAAGCAGATAACTGCTGGAAAGGAAAATATGTTCCTTTTTGAGATTAACTGCCAAATATTCTCAACCTACACAAAGCTGTCAGAAAGGACATCTAAATCTGTCCTTTTTGTAACATGTGTTGTGACAAGATTTGACAGTTTATCAAAGAACTGTAATTGCCACCTAAACATCTAGCATTTTGTCATCCCCAAGTGTGTTTAGTGAAAGCATTTATTTTCCTTAAAATGCAACAACCATTTTTCTCCACTTTCTGAAAGAACTGACTGAGTTTCTTTTCTCCTTAGGTGATCAAGCTGCATCATGGCTCTCTTTGAATTATTTATGTTGGAATTGTGAAGGGTGAAAAAAAAATAATCAGTAAAGCAAGAAACTATTACCAAGGTAATATATATCTATATTCTGAATATTGACTCAAAAGACCTTCAGGACACAGCAATTCTCACAGATCCATAGAGATGACGTTTTAAATATGCTTTCCTTGGGAAAGAGAAAGATAAGGCATTTTCTCTGTATCACAATTTCTGTTTCCAGAGTAATTTATTAAGAAATGATGTCTTAAATAGACAGAATGTGTTGTTCGATAGGCATCATTCCTACCTCAAGCTTTTATCAGAAACAGTGATAAGATAGATGTCTTCAATCTTCAGAGACTAGAATAAACAGGAGCTAATTCCCCTTGCAATAGATTCATGCAATGGAAATATCAGAGGAATGAAGATATTTCCATAACACTACTAATTGTTCATTTTTTTCTGGAAATAATTTTTAAAAGTAAGAGAATTTTTCAGTCTCAGCTTTGAGGTTTTGTTCTTTGTTGTTGTTTGATGAAAGAGTAAAACTTTTGTGCAAAAATTTCTGCACAACTTTTCGACTTTTTCTTCATTCTGATAAACCTCAAAGGAAAGGGCTGGAAGTGGTATAGTGAGAAAAGCCCTATTTGGAAATTCAAGGATCCCACATTCTAGTTCACACCCAGCGTGCAATAAGCTGTTAGATCCCAGGCAACTTGCTTCATTTCTCTGGGCCTTCGTTCGCTGTCTGTGAACTGGAATGTTAGACTGGGTGGTTTCTAAGGCCATTTCCATCTTTAATATTTTATGATTCTAGACAAAGCCCTGAAACTGTGAGGTGTTGCAACAGCCAGAGTGTGGAACAAAAATAGCAGCAACACAAAAATTTCTTTTTAACACCTCAAGGAAAATGTAACCGACTATGGGTTTTTAATGTTTATATTAGCATTCAATCCTATTTAGGTAATAATAAGTCTATTTAAAAATCTGTTCTGTTTTTCTTTAAAAACTGAAAAATGTTTGACATATTGAGAACACCAAGGGAAAAATCATTTTAATCAAAGCTGCAAGTACTTTTTAATGCTCCTAAATTAAGCCACAGAATTTTCTTTAGAACTCACAGTATATAGTCTGGCTGAGGATGAGAATTATAAAGTATAGGTGAGGCTGTTGATTTTATGAAGGAAAGAACATGAATGAAGCGTGGACTGAAATAAGCCCCCACAAGCCAAAGAGTTTCAACTGAGGAGAAAAGCAGTTGACGTCAGGGAGAGGTGTGATTGGATCAGCAGCAGCACATTTTGATTTAGCCTATTTGACTTAGCTGTTTAAATGGCTTTATAATAGTACATTCAATATATAAAAACACTCTTTTGTAGCAGTGTGTTTTACAGACTTAGCCAAGTCTTACCTATTTCTGTTGCCTCTCCCGTTCCATACCTTATTCCTGAGCTTATCCTATCCATGAACTCAACCCTGGGGGGAAGCTCAAAAGTGGGGTGAGAAAGTATATTCAACAAATTATTTAGTAATTTCAAAATATTTTAAAATGATTATTTAGTTTTAGAGTGAATCAAAATATCCCAGAACCAAATGTCAGACATACAATTAGCAGGATAAAACTTTATGATCTGTCTGATGCCTCCATTTTTTTATGACAGTCTGTTATTGAAATTCCTGTTATCTATGGTCCCTTCCATTCTTATCCCATTACTCCAACTCCCAATGCACTTTGGAAGCTGTGTGCTTAAAATTTGCTAATAAACATTTATTCATCATAGACATTTTTGTTGGTATTTTTAATTATAAAAGTAATGGAAGCTCAAATACTGCATTAAGAGGTCAAAAAAAGTGATAGTCCTATATCCCAACTCCCACCAGCCTACTCCCCTGTGCAAAGATAATCATAATAATAAGGACTTCCATAATGATTTGATCTTTGACTATTACTTAATTTTAAATACATAAATACCATACTATGCATATTTTTATGAATGGGTTTTTTACATTTAAAAATATCTCAGAGATACTTTCATATGGCTACACATGAATCAGTTTTTTATATGGCTACCTGTGTTTATACAATACTTTATCTCATAATTTATCTACTGACAGACATTTGCTAGTTTCTAGGTTTTGCTTTTATAAGCAGTTCTAGAGAAGTTACTGTCATTCACCGTCTTATACCCTGTAAGTGGTGCGACACCTGACACACAGAACATCTCAGGAAATACTGACTGAATGGATTAATACAGCAAGAAATACTGTTATCAATGTATTTTGGGGGTGCTTGTGAATACTTTTATTAAGTAGATTCCTAGAGGTGGACACACGGAAAGGTTATGTGTGAAACTTCCCTTGCAAAATCTACACACACACATTTCATTAGAATAGAAAGGATTACCTGTCATATAATTTTGGTCTACATGGTGTGTGAAAATAATTGGCATCTTCTTGATTACTAGCATTTTTTCATGTTTTTTTTCTGGTTTTTTTTTCCCTGTAAATTGATTATTTATACCACTTTCAAACTCTTTTTTGATTATCTTTTTCTTACCCAGTTGGAAGAACTCTGACTAAAACACGTTTCAGATACTTTCTCCAGTCCATATGTTTCCTTTCAAACTTAGATGTCTTTTGCTTTGCAGAAATTTTTTATTTATATTTATTTTTAATGTGTTTTATGTTGATTTTATTATATTTATATTTTCACATATTTAAATTTAAGCATCCTTTGGAAATTAATACAGGCAATAATAGAAGAAAAGAAAAAAAAGACCCATGAACTAAAGAAAGGTTTGATTCTTTAGTTCAAAAGTGTAAAGTGGGGGTCAGGGAGGAATTATTTTAAAGACCCAGGGACAATTTAGAGCAGCACAGGACGGGCCGGAACCCTAAAGGCCGAGTAACAGCCGAAAGCCATCAGTTACAGTCTGCGGTCTCCAGCTCCCAACCGAGCGCCCAGAGGAGTCTCTGGTCTGATTTCCATTCCTATCTCAGCAGTAGGGGTGATCACTAGCCATAGAGAGCCTAGGGTCATTGCCCAAAATGCCAAATTTCAAAATCTTCAGCGGCAGCTCCCACCAGGACTTATCCCAGAAAATTGCCAACTGCCTGGGCCTGGAGCCAGGCAAGGTAGTGACCAAGAAATTCAGCAGCCAGGAGACCTGCGTGGAAATTGGAGAGAGCGTGCGAGGAGAGGATGTCTACATAGTGCAGAGTGGTTGCGGTGAAATCAACGACAACCTGATGGAGCTTTTGATCATGATTAATGCCTGCAAGATTGCTTCAGCCAGCCGGGTTACCACGGTCATCCCGTGCTTCCCATATGTCCAACAGGATAAGAAGGATAAGAGCCAGGCCCCCATCTCCGCCAAGCTTGTTGCAAATATGCTGTCCATAGCGGGCGTGGATCACATCATCACCATGGATCTACATGCTTCTCAAATTCAGGGCTTTTTTGATATCCCAGTAGATAATTTGTATGCAGAGCCAGCTGTCCTGAAGTGGATAAAGGAGAGTATCTCTCAGTGGAGGAACTGCACGATTGTCTCCCCAGATGCTGATGGAGCTAAGAGAGTGACCTCCATTGCAGACAAATTGAATGTGGACTTTGCCTTGATTCACAAAGAACGGAAGAAAGCCAATGAAGTGGACCAAATGGTACTAGTGGGAGATGTGAAGGGTCGTGTGACTGTCCTTGTGGATGACATGGCTGACACTTGTGGTACAATTTGTCATGCAGCTGACAAACTTCTCTCAGCTGGAGCCACCAGAGTTTATGCGATTTTGACTCATGGAATCTTTTCTAGCCCAGCCATTACTCACATTAACAGTGCATGCCTTGAAGCAGTAGTAGTCACCAATACCATACCTCAGGAGGATAAGATGAAGCATTGCTCCAAAATACAGGTGATCGACATCTCCATGATCCTTGCAGAAGACATCAGAAGAACTCACAATGGGGAATCTGTTTCCTACCTATTCAGCCATGTCCCATTATGATAGGATAACACTGGAGTTATTGTATTTTAAATAAAATAAATACAAATATACTCTGACCATTGTTTTTCCTCAATATTTAATGAAAAGTTCCACAGAAGACCCACCTTGCTCCATTGTGGCTTTCTACATCCCACATCATGTATCTTAGATGTTTATTTTAAACTGGGGAAAAACAGATTGAGAATAATTGCTGGGAATTCCTATCTGGGTTGTTTCATTCTGGCTTTTTTTGACAATTTTGTGAGCCTTGCAGTTTCAACTACAGTTGAGCTGCTGATTTCAGGCTTTGAACATGCTGTGTGGGAGTGTTTGAAGGTAATTGGGGAAACAGACTACTTTACATGTGAATACTTCAGGGTTTACTTTGTTCAGAATAGCTAGCAATGCAGCCAACTCAATCCACCACCCCTACAACCCACTTCTATTCCCCATATCCTGGACCCCACTTCCCCATTTGTGACAGGTTTTCCAAGAGCTATGCTAAATTCCATCCAGAGTCCTGGGCAACTCAAATCTAGTTCACTTGGTTGCTGACCCACCTAAAGGCAAGAGCAGTAGTTTTCAGCTTGAAGAGTCATTGGGTAAGATCATGAGAAAAGGTTGCAAAGTGCAGTAAATGCATCTTGAGAGGGAGAAGACAAATCCATGACCACCTGTTCAGAGACGGTGGATCTTGGATTCTCCATTGTAACTATTTTTGATTTAGCTTTACTTCCAACCATCTTGACGTTTTCCTGGCCAAACATCCTGCTGGGTCCAAATGATCAGTGTACCAGTCTTCTGGAAAGTAAATCCACTCTCTAAAATTTACACTTGATGTTTTTGCTGTAGCTTAATCTTAGCCTACCAACCACAATGGTAGTAGATTTTAAGTGGTGTCCTACAGTCGCAATGGTGGTAGATTTTAGGTGGTGTTGTAGCACCTTTTAATTAAGCATTTACTTTTAATCTTTCTTCCTTGACTTTGGTTGGTCTCCCAGATGACCTCAGATTTACATTTAAAAATTTATGTTATTGTCTTTTGTAGGGGAAACCAATAAAATGCCTGCATGTATGTGAGAAAAAGAATGTTCATGTTTGGTTATACCATGAAATTTATGATCTTCAAGAAAATTCAGACAGGTCCTGAAAGTTTCTAAAAGGTAAAACATAAACAAGATAGTTTTAAAGAAACTATATTCAAATTGCTGTCAGACTTTTCATTTGACCTCTCAGGTAACAAGCAAAAGAGGACAATATTTTTGCAGTTCTAAAGGAATATTCTTTTTAACCTAGCTTTCTGTACTCAGCCAGAGTATCATTTAAATTTGAAGGCAAAATTAAGACATTTTTATACAGTAAAGGACTCAAAAACTTTACTATCATAAATGCTTCCTGAAAGTATCCACTTGAGGATGCCAAAAAAAAAAAAAGTACAACTAAGAGGAATAGATGGAATAAAAGAGATAATGTTGAGTAAAGAAAGAAGTGAAACTGATAGAAAAATAGTTTTTCATGAAATTATTTTGAAGGTTATCACAATTATTAAGATAAAACTAACATAAAAATAGAGCCACAATGTAAAGCAAATTATTTAAAAATCTGTAAAGAAAATTCCAAATAATATCCACAAAACATGGGAGACTAGGAGAGTTTAGGGTTAATCAAAGTACGTTAATGATCTTATCTAGTTTGGGAAGGAGGTTACTGACACCAATGATTGACATTATAGAAAAAAAGTATGTTTTCTAAATTCAAGGACAAGCAAGAGAAGAAATTAATGGGGTAAGTTACTTCCAAACTCCTAGACAGGAAAAAAAATGGCAATGGACATTGTAAAGGTGGACAATGAACAAAGTAAACACATCTAGCTGAAGATAGGAAATAAATGAGGAAGAAAACAGATCAAATAAAAAATACCAAATAAATGTTATCACAACTAAAGTCAATATGTTAAAGTTAATTTTATAAGAGCTAAATTCTCAGAATGAGGAGCAAAAATATCTAATGATATGCTGTTTATGGAAGACTTATCTAAACCAAAATTTGGGTATAAAGGATGATGAAAAATACCAACTAAATGCTGACAAAGAGAAGTTAGAAATGATTCTTTCAAAGTAAAAACAGAATGTGTTTCACTGATTAACCCTCCTGCCAATAAGTTACAACCATTATGAATCTTGGTGCACTTAAAAATTCAACACTGGAATACAAGAAGAAAAATAAAACAGTAAGAATATAAGGAGAAATGCATAATCTATGTTAAGAGAGGGAAATTTTAACAGAACTCTCAAATAATTTTAAAAGATAGGATTTAAATAATTCTATACCACAATTTAACAACTATACATGGAAAGAAAATAATTTACATTTTCCAGCATGAATGAAAACATAATATTAAAAATATAACAGGTCACAAAAGATCTTCATAAAATTTTAAAAAGAAATTTATAAAGATCATATATAGTAAAGTAAAGTGGATTTACTAAATTATCTTGACAATATTGTGAAAAAATTAAACTTTCAGTAAAATAGTAATAGAATGAAGCTTGCTTGATCTGATAAAGAAAATTAACTAGAGACCTACAAAGACACAATTATGAAGCATTGAAAATGTTCCCATTAGAATTAGGCAAATTTCCAAGCAAGTGGAATAAGGCAAGAAAAAGAAAAGAGCTAGCAATACTGAAAGAAAAAATGAGACAAAACTGTCATTATTTGCAAATGTCATGACTGTCAACAAAAAATCCAGCAATCAAAAGAGAAGCTATTCCTACAAGAGGTCAATAAAGAGACTATATATCAGATAAGTTAAAAAATGGTCTTTTCTAAATAGCAACAAAACAGTTGAAAAATATAATTGAAAAAAAAGTTTCCACAACCTAGAGCAATATAACCAGTAATAAACTCAAAAACTACAGGACTAGTATTAAAAAAATTAGCCAAAATACATAGAAAATACTGAAATAAATATATTACAAACCTGGAGTTGAAGAACAATATGAATGTTTCCTCAAATCATCTAGTCAGTATAAACCAAGCAAAAATGCAAATAGGATTTTTAAAAAGACAACTTGGTAAGCCTTTCTTAAAGCTTATCTAGAAAAATAAGAGATCAAACATATTTAAGATCTTTTTGAAGATGTTTGTGTACTACAATATATTAAAACATTATAAAGCTAGGGTAATAAAATTGTTGTACAGATGCAGGAATGCACATGCGAATTAAAAAATATTGTGGAATTTAGATTCCTGAAACAGACCCATGTATACTTACAGGAATTTAGTACACACATACCCTATTTAATGGAGAGAGTGTGTTACTGGAAAAAGAAGCATAACTGAATCAATTCTATAGTAGAATCACTATCACAAAGTCCCTGTGGAGACGCTTTCCTGATATCCTGCCTTGGCAACCACTCTTATAATCTACTCACATTCTCTGAAATGGGAGATGAGACTCCTGCCATAGTTTATTTGTTTTGTTTTTTTTTCCCCTAAGTATCTTCATAGAATTGTTGATCAATCAGATCATAGTGATGCTTATAATGGGCTTATTAGTTAGTTATCATTTATCAATATCTAGCTCCTTGATGATCTTTACTTTCTGCTTCCTTGATTATATCATGGAAAGCACCTTTAACCTATTTAAAACTTCCACTGTAAGTACCATTGTAACACTGTTACCTTGTTTATATGAAACATAACCAATATTATTTTTACAACATAAGCAGTCATTTTGGACAGACTGTTCTCAGGATACAAAATATATGACAAAGGTCATAGCATAGTAAATAACACAGCTGCAGCTCCTGGTTAGCAAAGTAGCAGGTTCCCTAGCTGAAAGCTATAGTGTGCTTATGCTTATTGGCTGAAAACTGCTTTATACAGTCAATCATACTACATACCAGCTCATACCTCTGGCAAAACTGATATATCTTGTCATTAGGTAAATAATGCACTGATCAATCAATGATGCTGGATAACTGACTATTAATTGGAACACTAGTTTTTTCTCATCTTTAAATGATGAACAAAAATAAACTCCAGAAGGAATGATTGCCAAGAACAAAACTGTAAAATGCTGGAAGAAAATGTAGAATAACTTTTATACTCTTGTAATGGAGAATTTGTAAAGCATTATAAAAGATAAAATTGAGACATGACTTCTGGGATTCTACAGGCAGAAAATGGGCTGATAGAGCTACTCAGTTACAAACACGTGCTACCCATTGAGAAGAAGAATGAATAACGCCAAGGGCAGAGCTGCCAAAAGTGGTGCAGAGGTGGGCGGGGCCATTGAGAGTGGCCTAGAGGCTGACTGAGCTGCTGCTGCCAGCCCTGAGGTTGAGGGAGCCACTGCCAAAGGCCAGTAGGCTGGAACGCGGACCCTGTGAGTCGAACATCAAGCCACAGAGGATTATTTTCAGGCCTTAAAACCTAGTGAAATTTGCTCTTCCGAATTTCAAACTTGCTTGGGATGGGCAACTCTTTTATTCTTTAACAATTTCTCTTTCCTAGAATGAGAATGTTATCCTGTGCCTGTCCCACCATTGTATTTTGGAAGCAGACAAATTATTTTCTGCATTCACAGGTCCACAGATGGAGAAGAGTTTTCCTCCAGGATGGTCCATACCCAGAATTTCACTTGTACCTGATTCAGATGATTTAATGATGAGATTTGGGACTTTCGAGCTGATGACATTTAAATGAGATTTTTGAACTAGAGGTGATGTTGTAATGGGCTGAGAATTAGGGGGATGTTAAGGGTGAGGTGAGTGTGTTTTGTATGTGGAACAGATGTGAATTTGCCAGGGGCTAGAGAGCAGATTGTAGTGAGTTGAGTAGAGGCCTCCCCCGCAAAAAGATATATCCATGTCTTAACCCCAGGAGCCTTTTTTTGATAAGATGTCCTTATTTAGATAAAGGGTTCTTATAGATGTAATAAAATTCAGGATTTCTAGGTGAGATCATCCTGGATTTAAAGTGGGACTTTAAAACAATGACAAGCATCCTTATAAGTGAAAAGCAGAGAAAGATCTGAGAGACACAGAGAAGGCAGTATAAAGATGGAGGCCGATAATGGAGGGACGAATCTACAAGCCAAGAAATGTCAAGGACTGTGGCAATCACCAGAAGCTAGGTAGAGGCATGGAGCAGATTCTCCCACAGAACCTCCAGTAAGCACCAAGTTTACGGACACCTTGGTTTCAGACTTTTGTCCTACAAAACTGAGAGAATAGATTTCTGTTGTTTTAAGCCACCTAGTTTGTGGCAACTTGTCACTGGTGTCATGGGAAATGAATACAGATTTCATATCCAGAAGAGGGAAGCTGCTGTAACGAATGCCTTAAAATGTGGGAGTGGCTTTGGAATTAGTTATTGGGAAGAGGCTTGGAAGAATTTTGAAGTGCATGATAATAAAGGCCTAGATCCCTTTGAAGAGAGTGTTGGTAGAAATAGAAACATGAAAGGAGACTCTAGTGAGAGCTCAGAAGGGAGTGAAGTAGATGATGTGACTCATGGATTCAATCTAATCTCAGCAGAAGACAAGAGTAGAGATAGTTATCCAGGAAGGATCGGTGAGGAACACTCTTATCTAATAGTGGAGACCCCATGCCAGGCACAAAATCAAAAGGAATAGAGACAGGATAAAATGAATAAGTGTTATCATATCTTTTGGGGGCCATTATTCAACCCACTACACTGCATCTTTTCCCTTCTCTATTTTCTTTTAGATTCCCTATTAGATGAGTATTTTATCTTCTGGATATATCTTCCCTATCTTAGAAGTTTACTGATATTTTTCATCATTTTATTCTTTGTCACTGGATTCATGGAGAAGTCTTTAATTTGAACCTGCAGTTTAATTCTGTCTCCAGTTAATTCTATTATTAATTATTATTATTATTATTATTATTAATTAGATTATTAATCCTATCTCTGAATTTCCTTTCAGTATCAGCAAACATGCTTTTAATTTTCAGATACTCTATTTCTTTTCCTTAGCAGCCTCTCTTTTTTATGGTTGATACCATTGATATTATTTTTCATTTTATGGAATGTAATATCTGAATTCTCTTGGTAGATATTAACTATTCTTATGTATTAGCTGTTTTATTGAGAATGTACATAATGGAGAGAAGGAAGTATAGCAGGCAACCTTTCCTTTGTGGTGGATATTTTGACTTCTGGCTGAAAAATTTCCTAGCTATTGGGGTGACCATAACTTACTTTAGATACTGCACAGCTTTTCAATCCTAAAAGCCTACCCTGAAATTCTCACTCACTTCCAAGAACTGTACTCATAAATTGTCCTTTGTGGAAACATTCTGAATTCCACTGGTCTGGAAGTTGGAGACAGTCACAACCGTTCCATTGCTTTTTAATATATACATTCAATTCAATAAATTGCTCATAGACCCTTCCCTCTCTCAAATCCAATACCCTTTTTGAGAACTTTTCTAGAAATTTGCTACAAAATTTCCTTATTTGGGGATCATGTCTTTAATTTCTATGAACTTCCAGTTCTTTAGTTCTATTGGGATATGTTGGCAGTTGGTTTCAATATACTTGATATCAACTGGGAAATGTTTGTTTTTCTGATCTTTTGATCGTTTCCCTTCTGGCTAAATAAATATTTATTTGTTTGTTTCTATTGCCCTTCCTCATTCTCCTTGATCTTTCTAAAAACCATTACAAAATTGATAACTATTTTCTTATCAAAGTACCTTCTTCACTTGACTTTTTATAACACTATAATATAGGGGCTTTTCTCTCAATTCTTGGCTCCTCTCAAACTTCTTTGCCTCCATCCCACTGACACAGCTCATACTCAGCCACTGTGGGCAAATATGGAGGGCTAAGCCCTCTTCATATCACTAATGTCTAAGGTAGGCACTTGCTTACCCTAATGTCCTCCAGATTCCCTCTGCAATTCTACCAAATTTATTCCTAAAATGTTATTTTCATTATCTTAATCCCATAATCAAAAAATACATTTTTTCATTGTTTATAGGAAAATCTAGCCTTCATTTCAACACATAACCATCTGGTCCACTATTCCCAATATAAACTTTCCACTCCATTCTTATTTGTCTATTCATTACCCTAGAAAACACGTGCAGCTCTCCACTGTAATTCCTCTGTGCCATTCACCGAACCTCCAATAACCTCTCTGTTATCCTCCACTTGACTAAATCTTACTTTTCTTCAAGGCCCACTTCTTTTACAAACATCTCAATATCTGACCTCTTTCTCTCTCCCATAAACTCATATTGTTTGCATCATTCTCTACAATGTTGCCTTCTCTCAGGAGATTAATTTGGGTAGTCATTAAGGATTGGGAATATTTCATATATCCTTTGTGTCTTCAAGATGCTTCATATGGAGGGGGGTATAGCTCAGTGGTAGAGTGCATGCCTATCATGTACAAGGTCCTAGGTTCAATCCCCCATACCTCCATTTTAAAAAAATGTCATTAAGATGCTTCATATAATGTTTAATACTAAGCGGTCAGGTATTATGCTTTGGTTGATTTTTGTTAATGATATAAACCTTATCTTAATGATAAAGTAAACTTAGAAATATTGAAGTAAGTGTCTTAAATACCAACCTAAAGATTTTTATTTATTTAAAAAGCAACAGGGAACTATTGTAGGTTTTTCAATATGTTTTCAGTTGATGACTGTTGCAACAAAAATAGTACTTTCTGAAGAAAATGTGGCAGCATTGTGCAAAGTGAGCTAGACTACAAAGCCTGTGCAACTGAGAGACCAAATGTGTCCAGGTGGGTTCCATTTGGAGAAATTAGGGCTACATAATATTTTTTTAGATTTATAGTAAACAAAGAAGCCCTCATTTTCCTAATCCCTAATGCACACAGGGTTGTTTACAGGAATTCAGTCTGAGTATAAATTTCTAAATGTAATGCTGACAGTATCTCTTATCAGATGACATGATTAATGATGTTTTCTTCAGAGTGGCTTCAGTTAGATGCTTCCCAAATCCTAATGCTATTTCAAAGATACAGTCAGATGATTACACTTATGAGCACCTTGCAAGAATTAGAAAAGATAAGGCAGTGATTGAATGGTTTTAAATAATACATTTTGCTCAGATTTAATTATTATGCAACTAGTGACTTTCTTCACTGTTTTTATACTCGTCATTGTTCTTTCTCTTCTAGGAAAACCATTACTTTCTTTACCCTGATTTCAGCACAGATGCTATGCACTGACTGGCATAACTCATTGCTTAGAGCTAGGAAAGACCCAGGAGCCTCCCTTTTACAACATTAAAGAGTCTGGTTGTCAGATAGGTAACGAGTTTGCTTCACAGACTTAAAATTGTGCTTTCCTTCCTCCTCCTTACTTACCATTTGGCTTTTTCACTTAATAGCCCTACCTTTTAAAAGGAGATTAGGGGTATCAGTCCTGTGAAGGTCTTCAGGAATGACAGAGCATGCAGGGGAACAGAAAGGCAAGGACTTTGAGGCGGGAACATACACATGTTAGAGCAACAGAAAGAAGACCAGTCTGGCTGGAGTAGAATGAGCAGGAGGAAAAGCAGAGTGAGGGTAAGTCTGTAAGTTGGGTGGAGCCAGATAAGATAGGTAAGCTATCACATACTCTGAATTTCTTAGATCACCAGTCACCATCAAATTATCTGTTGTTTGCCCCTGGCCTGTAAGTGCTCAAATCTCTACTAGGAAGATTGTGTCTTAAATTATTACTGCTTAATAAGTTAATATTTGTCCTTTACAGTCACTTTGTGACTACAAAAGCAATTCAAATCTCCCCAAACTTGCCAGATCATAAAATTCCTGACCTCCCACCCTTAACCTCCTGAATCTCCAGAGAGGAGGCCTGGGAAACAATATTTTTAAACAATTAACCTAGATGATTCTTATGATGAGGCAAGCTTAGGAAACATTAAGCCCTGCAAGTGAGATGAATAGAGAGAATTTTGAGTGTGGAAGGCAATTTTGAGCAATAGCATCCCAATTACCTACTACTTCATTACTATGTGTGGCACTTCTAGCCAATACACGGCACATGAATTGCCATTTTCCTCTCCCATGACCATGGTCTTCACCTCTGCTGGATCCCAAGTCTCCTTCCTGCTGACACGAGATAGAACCTAAGATTTCTCCTCCTTGCAGGGATCCCGGCAGCCACTTCCTATTGAGAAGACCTGACATAGGAGATGAAACTTACATGACATCCCTCTTGTAGGAGTATCTCTAGATCAGGGGGATTTCTCAGCTGATTTTTATTCTGAGTGATACTGAATTATTACATAGAAAAATGTACTTGTGTTTGGGGATTGATCTATAGACATGATTTTGTTTTATTGCCTCAGAAATATATATTGATGTAGATTTTGTAGCTGTAGTATCTACGAAAAATGGATTTTGAAATTTCTTTTATAGAAGATTATGTATATAGACATATTTCTGAAGTATAGGGAAGTGAAGATAAAAATGAGCTTTAGAATTATTTAGATCTTAATTTGAATTCTGGATGTGCTACTTACCAGCTATATTACTACCCAGTTAATATATGGCTTTGAATCTCTGATTCCTCATCTCCATAATGGAGACAAAATATCTCACACAATTGCTGTGATTCAGGATGAACATGTGTGAAACAGCTAGAACAGTTTTGGTCACATGGTGTGCACATGAGATAAAGCCTGGATTTCCTCCTTTCCTTTGCTTGAAACAGAAATCTCCCTCTATTAATAGACTTGCTTTTAAGACTGTTTCCTGTGTTCCTCTATTTGGTAACAGAATTTGGATAGTATAATGTGGAAATTTTAAGAAATACTCTAAAATGTTATTTATTCAAAGTTTGATAACTTAGATGTAGTCAAACAAGCTAAATCCTCAATTAACCCTTTTTGATGTGTATAGGTGTATGCCCTAGACTTGTAAGGAAACCCTGGTAGAATTAAATGGGGCCCTTAGGATCTTTAGTACAACATACTGAATTCCTGCAGACAAATGATGAAAAAATAAGCTCAAATAGGGGCCTCATTTACAAAAAAAAAAAAGTATGTCCTGGAGTTAATAAAGAATGATCCAATACTATACTTTCTGCTTCTTCAGGAAAGAGCAATGACTGTGAGTTGTGTGTAAGCTTCAATTATTGAAGTAATGGTAAGTTGGGTGCAGTACACTACCATGGTAAGTCAGGAAAGTTAAGTTAACTTAAGAAAAATGAATGTGAGAGGAGTGTTATGCCCCTAAAAGTTTCCCACAAAGCTTAAATAATCAGAAATGTAAATGAAGCAGAACAATCCAATTTCTGGACATAATGGTTATTCAACATTTGACTTAAGTTTTTCCCACCTCTCTGCTTCCTCTGCCCCTCAGGCATGCATACTTCTTCAAAACATTGATCATTAGGCTAAAATATCAAAAAGTTAAATTATTGGCTCTTGCTATCTGTATTATTGCATCAGTTCCAAGGGTCAACCCTAATTTTACATCTCCCACCTCTCCTTCCTGGGCTACTCTCATGGCGATTTGCTAGTTTCTGAACTTATCTTGACAAAATCAGGATCAAAAGCTTTCTATCTGCAACCTGGTGTCGGCGTAGAATTAATCACAGTGATGCAGCAGCCACCACAGTGGTTGGGCTCCCACGTGGCCTCTATGTCTTCTTTCCCATCTACGTAGCCTAGCCCAAGGTCTGCTGTGTGAGGACCAAGCCTCAGGTCTTGGCATTTCTTGCATTAGCACACTCTGACAAGCATCTGGCATTAGCCATTAGACCAGGAGTTTCCTTTGTTACATCTCTTCTCCATATTCTGTCATCTCT